TATATATATATATATATATATATATTATCGGACTCAGTTTGAGTTTGAGCTGTGTTCGAATGCAATTCAAATTTGGTTGGTTAAAATAAATATTCATTCTTTAAAAAAAAAATTCCCTTTTTTTGGTTAGATTCTCATTCGGTTAATTTGATTTAAATAAAATGATATCTGGTTCATTATATATATATATATATATTATTTGGTTCGGTCAGATCCAAATCAAATAACAACTGTGAACAAAGAAAATGAGAAGTCTGTAACCCAAGATGTCGTTGACGAGTGGTTAAACGGTGGGTGTTTTTACCTTCGAATTGAGTGTTCGATTTCTGGTGGGGAGAGAGATAATTTCTGGATCTATGTGGTCAATATACAAAAACCACATCCGGATCGAAAGTTTAACTAATCACCGCGTCCGAAAGATAATAGTTAGAAATCTTCCGTTATAAAAAAAATGGGGAGGCTATATATATATATATACACACGAACCCTCACGGCCATATATATATATATATATATATATATATATATATATATATATAAAGTTGATATCTTTGAATATGAAGAAATGCATATAAAAAAACGTAAGAATTTCGGATAAAGTTGATATATAATTATATATATATATATACGCACACAAGACGAGAGATTGCAATTTTGTTTGGTACAACTCAGAAGGGATGAAATATTAAGGCCGTACGTACACAGATATGACATATGATCCGTCCGTATCAAAGTTATTTTTGTATTTGATTAGTTATTTTATAAATTAATTTACTAAATAAAAAAGGGAGAACATTCTATTATATAACAAATTAGATTTCAAAAAATGCATTATATAAAATTGTACTACCTCTTACTAAACAAAAAAATGGGAGAACATTCTGTAGTTGAATATGGTGGCACGGATTCCATTGACTCGGTTAGCCACGACCTCTTTCGATCCAACCTCTGCAATCTCCACCAATATGAGTTATGTTCGAATAGTTATAGCCAAAAAAATGGTATGATTATGTTCCGTGCAACTATGTTGGTTGTTAATGGTTAATGGAATTTACATGTATAGAAAATGAGGTTTTAAAAAGAGGGGTTTACTACTAGCTACAGTTTTCGTAAAGGAAAAGATGGGTTTTACTTCACGACATAGACGATCAAAGTCCCGTTCTTGGGGGTGAACGGCCGGCCTCTGTGAGATTGTAGTCACGTCAATTGGATACCGATGAGAAAAAAAAAACCGTGTTTGGAAATGGGAATAAGGGTGTTCATGTCCAAGATAAGAAAACTTCGAGAAAAATGAGGAGAGCAAGGAGGAGAAAGAGACCGATATGACTGAGGAGAGAGGTGGATCGGTGAGAGATTTCAGAAGAAGAGAAAGCAAAGAAGAGAATGTGTTTCAGAAAATGTTCTGAATCCATTGTTGGTGTGTGATCTTTCCTTATTCCTTAGTACGAGATCTTACTCTTTAATTCATGTAAAATCTGAAAATTTGGTTTTATACAAGAAACATGGATGAATATAGAAGTGAAAGAACGCACAAATCTGAGGAGAAAAAAAAAGTGAGAGAAATAACCGAATGAATCAATGAGTTGATGAGTATAATTATATTTCAGATATTAATCCAACTCATAAATAAACACGTGTTTAAAAAAGGTATATAGAAAAATCTTATCTATAAAATATGCATAAGTGACTTCAACAAAAAAAAATGTATAAGTGATACCATATGATTTGTTAATGTAAAACGAAGATCTAAAAAAAAATTTACTGTAAATCTAATGGTTTAAGATTTTTTTATATAATTATTAATAATTTTTAATAAATTTTAAATATAAGATTTTTTAATATAAATATAGTAGTTCAAAATTTATGATAATTACTAAATTATCAAACCCATTTGAAATTCCATGATTATATGATCATTCCGTCTCTATTTTTTTTCATACTCCACCGATTAATCTCGATTATAACTCTAATCTACGGTTCTAACATGCTGCTGATTTTCATATGAGAGAAATTTTAAAGATAATCCAATTATCATAGTTTAATAGAGATCAATGTTCAAAACCCTAAAAGCCAAAGAACAAGCTTGAATTTGGTTTGTATACGATTTAATCGCACCATTTCGAAAGGATTAAGCAACTTAAAAAAATTCGAAAACTGAATTTCAACCGCTAAAGTCCACCTAAAACATATCATATCAAGTATTTTTTATAGAATCTGTAATGGAAAGGAAAAAAATTTAAAATACACTGGATTAATCAAAAGGAGAATGAATGGTTAAAGACTCCTAAATCTGATGGATTTATACACGTAATATAATGATTGGTTTATAATAGTTTACTATATTTTCGTCATATCAAATAAATAATCCAAATATTTCCTATATATATTAATAAGATAATACAACTTCAATCCCTTAATCAACATTTTATACTTTTTTATTTAAACATACAAATGCAATTATATTCAACACAAACTCACATAGCATATGACGATAGTTACAACAAAAAAAAGTAAAACAAGGTCTAAATTCCTTTTTGGAGTTAAAGGAAAACAATGGCGATATATTCCTGCGATTATATTCCATCTCATTATCAAGATATCCAATACTTTTTATTATCTGTATAATTCAAATGTTCTACGATCCGACGTACTATTATCTACATCCAGAACAATAACAATTACAACTAAAATAAATCATTGAAAATAATTTTATTTACCGTTAGGAATGGGTACGGATCAGATATTTGGGATTTTTGTGATATTTGTATCTATATCTGATCCGTATAAATATTAGATTTTATTATCTGTATCCAAACCGTAATTTTCGGATATTCGTAATTTCGAATATCCATAACAATTATGGATATTTACGAATATCCGTATCCGATATAAAAAATAGTATAATCATAAATCAAATTAGAAAAAAATTTCAAAAACACAAATAAAATAAATAAGAATCGAGTACAATCTGGTGGAAATGAATATGAAGAAATGCATATAAAAAAACGTAAGAATTTCGGATAAAGTTGATATATAATTATATATATATATATACGCACACAAGACGAGAGATTGCAATTTTGTTTGGTACAACTCAGAAGGGATGAAATATTAAGGCCGTACGTACACAGATATGACATATGATCCGTCCGTATCAAATATTCGGAATCAGCTACAGGGTTTTGATAAATACGATCTTCAGCATGATTACATATTCTTCATTATCATATCTTATCAACATTTAATAACGTGTTCTTTTAATTTCCAATTCTATTCCGTAAGACAAAACTAGATGTAAATATCTAAGATAATAGATGTACATATAAGATCATTTATATCATAAGATTTAAATCATACTATATATATTATGATTCCTGCTAGAATATTAAGACATTTTATTTAAAACATTATAAGGAATTACACATACTAAATTAAAGATTATTTTCTTTATATTTTGGCACAATGTCATTTTGCCCGATTAATATGTGTAATGAAAAAAGTCAACATCGAGAATCTGCATTTATATTACTAATCATTAATATATAATTTCTATATTACAAAATGAAATAAAGAATCTGCATGCATTATCGCCAATACCCTCCTACCTCGTGAAGCTATATATATATATATATATATATATATATATATATATACACAAACCCTCACGG